TTTACATAGTTTAGTTTCATAGGAATTTTCACATATGCTCATCTTAGTATCTATGTGGTTGGATATATGCTAGAAAAGAATGATACTGTAACAGATTAGTTATTCCTCACCTGCTGAATAACTTTAGTTGAGGTAACATGATTGATTCAGTGCAAATTATTGGAAATCTAGGCTTGTTCCAATTATGGAGTCAAAACAACTCGGTGGGCCTCTAGCTAGTACCTGCAGCTTTATGTACGTCCCTTGTCAACTATTAGATCAGCCTTTTCTTCCACGTTAAATCATCAAACTATGTAGAAAACAAAGATATTATGGCTTATATTTAAGGGTGCATTCAGTCCGGATATGGCTCGGATATAATACTTACTATATCTATATTCGTTTGCCTCGGATACGGATGCAGATATTGATATACTTCGGTAAGAAAAATTCATATTCATACCCGCTAAAATCAGATACGGATACGGATATGGATATATGTCTGGATGTATACGCGGATATGCATGCGGATACAAAATGGATATGAGATCACTAGATATTATTGAAAAAATATAGTTCATTTGATACAAAAGAGTTCATTGATGTGTTCATTATGTTTGAAAAGAGTTCATTAATATGTTCATTATATCCTTGAAAAACAAAGATTAGACATCTTGGTCATCAAAATTAACCTCAAATCCATAATCTAAGGATTAAAACTATCGTAACGGTATGACTAATATGTATTTAGATATTTTAAATACAGATCTAGATATTTCACTACAAAACCATATTTGTACCTGTATCCTATCGGTTATAGATTTGAGTGATCATATTTGTACGTATCCTAACAAATACGGTTATAGATATTTCCTTGGATACGGAGACAGTTTAGCACCCCTATTTATATTCATACAATTATATGCATTTTTCTTTTTCTTGTGTATAAAGCTACATTTTTACAGCAGAGCAAGGTGAAATGCCCCCAGTTAGAAAGCAATTACAAAACAACACTGTTGGACGTTAGTTCTGACCTTTAAAATACATTACCATTTTGTAACTTGAGAATCTAGCATTCTAGATGGTGTACTAATTAAATTTTTCCATTCAGTTACTCTTAATATATCTGGAGAAGATGCATGAGGGATTTGTATATGAACATACTTAGAATTAAAGACCTAAGCTAGCTAATATCCACCAAAACTTGTATGCCATAGTATTGTATAAGTTACAAGATTGCAGTGAAGGTGTTGAGCAGTTTTCATAATATAACCACTACCGTAATCATCATTCTTGAGTTTCTACTTCAGATTATGGCCTTTTTGCTTCCAAACCCTTAAACAATTTTTAATAAAATGATGATGATAAAGAATGATGATAATAATCCATTGACAAACACTTTCTTCTTTTGAAGCTAATTATTATTCTACTTGTACAGATATCATATACGAAAAAAAATTGTAGGAGAAAAACAGGATGAGATAACCTGTTCATATACGCATTAAAATAAAAAGTTAGAGAACATACAAAACTAGGAGAGATTGGTGGTCTTTGCAAAAAGAAATTAGTGAAGTGTAATAACTACACTAATCTCCTTTGCACAGGCCGCGACCAAACCTCCGAAATTGAAAAAAAGACAATGTGTATCACTGCTGAACTTTCAGCTATAAAAAACCAACACAAAAGAAAAACAACAGAAACACAAATAGAGTGAAACTGAAACTGGGTTTTTGACTGTCTGCTACTCTGGAGAGCTTATGGATCAATTGTCTGCCGATCGAGAAGTTATCACCAACTACATCATCCACACCTGCTTTTGCAAGCTCCTTCAGTCTCAAGTTGATGGCGGCGCCCTTGTGTAATCTGCTTGAAGCTCTATTTGTTGTTGTTCCTATCCAGAACAGAGTGTATCTTGCAACATTAGTAGCTATTTGCTGAGTATTGACTTGAATATCATTAAAAATGAGGTTGTTGCGGTTGTTCCATATCCACCAACAAAAGCAAGGGAGCATGACTTTCCATAAAACTTTGGGGTTGTAACTGAACAATGGGTTGCTTTTGATTGAGATCAAGGATTCCAGATTCTGAGGCCAACAATCTATAGGTACTTGGGGGAGAAGAATAATCCACACTGAGGATGTGAATGAACAATTGATGAACAGCTGGTCATGGCAAAGTGTATCATATACGAAAAATTATTGATGGCCTTTTAATTTTTCAGCAAATAAATAAATAAACAAATAAACAGAAACCCTCTTTCCGCATCCCTGAAAGAAAGGAGTGACACTTTCTCCACCTTAAACACAAGGGTTAAAAAAATAAAATTTTGCAGTAAAAGAATAATAACAAGTTCATAGTTTTTATGTGGCACATATATTCCCGCCCTGTCAATTGATGGACATGTATTTAGTGGGGGTAAAAAAGAAAACCAAAACAGTATGCACTGGGCTCTACCGCGTACCATTCTCTCTGCACTGTATTTCTGTGCAGTGAATGCTTTTTCTTGGGAGCACATTTGAACATGTCAAGTGATCATTTGCGGAGGAAAAGATCGTTGATTTTATCTAGCAGGACCTTACTTGTTCAATTAATTAGATGAAGTAGATCTGCATCTTTTTCCTTTATTCGTGCATTAACTTTTGTTTAGGCTAATAATTATATGTGTTAATGAGTAACGCAGAGCAAAGAAGACCTGCTTGCTGTTACCCATCACTTTCCTTCTATTCATCTGGATTGTGAATGGTTATCTTCTTTCGGGGTGGGGTGTAAAACCTATATAGGAGAAAATAATGGGGAAGTAAAGGGTGACTTTTGACATATCATTATTCTTGATAAATCATGTTACCAATATCTATTTGTGAACTTACTACAAAGTAGAGAATGACAGGTGACATATCACAAATCTTGATACACATATTATTAATATCTCTCGGTGTAGTCATTATTGCCTTTTTACTATTTTTGAAGGCTATGATCACACAATCTGTTAAGATCCAGGTTAGGATTGTTTTGCTCAGGCCCTCAATGGAATGACATAGAGGAGATTGATGAAGAGGCCGCTTTCTTCTCCGACTTTATATCTAATTCTTGAATTTTGGTATCTGAGAAATCTGCACAAGTAGAAACTCGTGAGAGGGCGGGGATTGGTTCCCCCGTTGTACCTCCAACGATCAAGTCAGCTAACAAATTTGAGTGGGGAAAGTGAAGAACTGCGTGAGTTCTTGTGTGCAGTATATTTTGCAGTAAAGGGAGTTCGTCATCTTCTCCTTTGCTAGATTTGAATAGTACCTCTATATATATGGTAGTAGAATGATAGATTGATCACTTTGGCCGAGAGCAAAGAGGCAGTGGCGAAGTATGGGCTAGCAGCTGAGTCAGTCCCTGTTTTACAGGTGTCGGTAGGTGGTTAGGGGAAAAGTCACTTCGACATGGGAGAGAACGTCTCCGCATTGCCCGGGAAGTGATTGATAGCGCGACAGAGCCCACGTGGTACAATGAGTGATGAAGACTATCGAGGGTAGGGTCATGATGGGACCTGTCCAATGTGGATCGGGGTGTTGATATGTAGCCAAAGGAAAAAGCCCGAGGTAGATATTATCTTTCCGTTTAGCCGAGAAGTAACGCCCTTTCGAGTCGTCCTTACAAGGCGTTGGATGAATGGTCGAGTGGACTCCTGACGAGTCGTCTTCGATAAGAGGGCCGACTAATCTCGCCTTTCGAGCCGACATCGAGAATGCCGACTTGACGAGTCGGCTAAATTGGGACTTACTATAGTAGGGCTTGGGTCACAGAGTTGATTGGTGCCTTATTTGCAGAAATATACTTGCCCGTTGTTTGGCGAGGAGTTGCATAGTGGCGAGTGTGAACACTATAACAACTATAGTAACTACACTGATAGTGACTAGTATGCGATGTATCACGCTATCGTTTTTCCATGTAGTATATCTTTATAACAAGTCCTCTCCATGTATCGTGCTATCTTTTTTCGCATAGCATATCTTTATAGAGAGTGCTCTATAAGGTATTTCTCCTCCTTTCTCATTCACAGCATTGTATTCCACATTGAAGTAGGCTAAGGGGCATAAATGTAGTACAAGCCCATGGCATTAAAGAGGTGACTTGTACTGCTAATGACTTCAGTTGAGACCTAAAAACTTGTGATAACATTACAAAACAGCCAACCAACCATATGCCATGCGAGGGAATTTGGTATGAGCACTAGCCCAAATCCCTTTCATTTGTATTAAAAACTGAAAGAGCAGCCAATGGCAGATGAACCCCAAGGCAACCCACAGAGAATTTTTCTTGTATAGTCATTTAAGTCTTGTCTTTTTCCGTATTGCCCCTTATCCGATTTCTCTTTATTTCTTACTGTCAGCATTCATCTTAATTTACTTCATTTTATTTAAACATCTTAGCTATCCCACCCACACAAAAAAAAAAGGAAAGAAAGAAAGACTCTGCTACCATGTTAATGTACTGATGCATATGGTTTGTCTTTATTATTCACTGTTGCAATTCTAGCATTTGCCGAAGAAAGAAACATAAGGATAATTACAAATTATTGGGTCCAGTTTTAGTTTTCTGTCCTATTCTGGCTCGTTTTCTAAACCCTTTGTGAAGGACCAAAACAAATAACGAAGATAAACCAAATGTTATCGGATTATTATGTAGAATTAGAATAATCACCATTTAGGAGGGTCTATAATAGGACATATATGTAAATTGGAAAGTTAATAGTAGTAACGTGCAAAAGAGATGTTGAAAATAATGCGCTGAAAATGAAAGAAAACATGGGGCTCCACCTCGAATGGTGGTTGCAGTAGTATGAGGTGGAACATGCCCTCAATGGTCCACAAACCTACCAGATATGATTAATATAACCAACTACTTATATAGTCCTGATGCAATCACAGCTATAAACTTTTGATCCCCGCAACAACAGTAAACCAGAAAGGGAGATGAGATAGAAAGAGGGAAATCATAGTGCAACGTTAAAACATCATAGTAACGAGAGGGGATATAAAACAAGGAACTCAAGTTTATTTCACAAACAAAATGATCCCTCACCTTTTTCTCAACATACATAACATAATTCTCAGCACCACCATAAGCCCATACTCATAATCTCCTAATCATCTAACCACCAAAATCTCAGTGCTGGAAGGATGAAGAAATTACAGACGAAACAAACAAAATTTCCAGCAGCAGCACTGACTTGATAAGCTACATAACATCGTAAACGGTTTCTTTCACATAAACCCCTGAGACAATCTCTACTTACTCTAAGAACCCTGTTTTTGTGAGAACAGCATTTCTCACCTTTCTCTGGTCTCTCCCCTTGAGGGTCCTCCCTGCTCCTTCACACACTGAGAATGAAGAAATCTGGCTCCTTGCTAGCTTCTTAGCAATCCATTCATGTGGAGGGAGTTGATAACCATCATCATCATCATCAAATTCATCATCACCATCACCATCATTGCCATGCTCTTCAACATTTGAATTGGACCTGTAAATATTGGACCAGTCAGGGATATTAACAGGAGCAGACTGCCTCTGTTTTCTACTGCCATTTTCTTCTGCATTGGCGTTGGCTTTTGGGATCAGCTTTGAAGCAGATGAAAGCCTCTTAGAACTAGAAGAGGATGACGATGAAGAAGAAGAAGAGAAAAAAAATTGGTCTTCTGCTTTCCTCTCCTTTACACAAGACCAAACCTCCTCTTCCTCAAGATCCCCATCAGCCATAATCAAAACGGAGAGAATGAGGTTGAGAATGAGCTAGTGAGCTTTCTATGGGTCAAAAGATGAGATCTTGGAGGCCATCAAGTCCATTAAAAGCAAGGAGTTGTATGTTTGCTTGAGACGGGCAAGTTTTTAATGCATGGAACTAAGATGGGTTTTGTTGTGAAGTGCTATAGAGGGGCTTAGGTCTCCTTGTAGTCCATTTAAAGCTAGCAAGAGACTTGATGGGTCTCTTTTAGAACTGATTGGTTCACTGTAAGAGAGATTTGAGAGATGGGGGTCTATCAAAAAACCCAGAGGACAGAAGGGAAACAATCAAAGCAGGGATTTTTGGAGCAGTCCACAGAAAAGGGGATTGAGCAGAATAAAGTTTCTAATTATGGTCAAGAATTCCATGCAAAGAAAAAGACTTGGAGATGATGGATTGGACAAACTAATGAGTACTGATTCTCTGTTACATCTTTATCCCCCGGAAACTAAAAGAAGATTGTCAGTGATGATCTTAAAAACTGAGAGAGAGAGAGAGAGAGAGAGAGAGAGAGAGAGAGAGAGAGAGAGAGGGGGGGG